GTGCTGCCGCTGCAGGCATCCGTGTCACTGGGTTGTCATACAAAACCAGTGTCTTTTATATTGATGAGTTATTTTGATGGAATGGCCGATGTCCGATATGTAACTTTAACACTAATGTCGGCCGATACTGATACCATGCCTTTAATATCATGCATCTGTATCCTAAATGTTTGCAAAGGGAAATGATGACCGCAAAAATTAAAGTCATTTTCTCTTACTTAGAATTCATATGAATTTATGTGCTGAGAGGTCGAACTGATGAGAACTGAGCAGATAAAATCCTTACTGTTAGATTTGGTGATTTTTGTCTATTGCATCTGGTCATTTACTTTCATTTAAATCACTTTTCACCATATTCCTTCACTTTGTGTCCCACCACATTACCAGCCCTAAAGGGAACCCAATAGTGCAATAACTTTGGTTGAATGCACCCTTCACCATGTAGCTACCAAATGGCTTTTTCCATCATCCTAAGCAGTGAGAATGTTGCAGCAGAACTCCAATGTCTTATTTCTCTGCATTTACACCACAGCAGAAGCTAACACTCAATGCACATAGCCAGCTGTAAGCACTATTTTTCTTGCTCACAGTACACAAAACAGGCAGTGGTTATGTATTGGTAGTCTGTGGTGTAGGTTTATTACTTGTGTGACACAGAGAACCAAAGCGTGGCCGACTTGCTGAAAGGCTGCAGCTCTGAAAGCTCAGGAATAATATAGTGCCAAGAAAGCTCCCTGGGATAGAAATCAGTCCTTCCTGCAACATTTGTGTGGATCCTTCCAATTTATCATGTAACACTGCCTGTGTTGGCTAAACAATATTAAACACCATTGTTGTAATTGTGTGTGGGATTGCCCACCATATGAATAGCAAATATGCCTAATCCTATGAAATTATGCAATACCTGCACAACCACGCTGCAATTCAAATGCTATTAAATGTGATTAATAGACCTTTTTTATTGTATGTATTTATTTGCAGCCTTTATTTAAGCCGGCAAAACAAAAGCATTTGTAAATCTGTTTGGTTATGATGGGGAGGGAGTTAGTGTACCTGCCTGCCTCAATCACGTTCTCTTTCATGGCTTTCCTGTTCTCATCGCTGCATCCTTTCAGCTTTTTTATTTTTATCCTATTGCTTCATTTGACTTGTGCCCTCCTGGGCTCTCTCTTCTTATCTCATACTTTCCCTCTGCCTTCGCTCTCTCATTTTCTTGCCTTTCATGTGTCCTTTTCCTCGTTTTAATATTTTTTTTCCCCTCTGATTCATGTGTGCGTGTCTGTGTTCGAAAAAGACTGCCTCCTATGCATCTATATATGCCATATGGCCACGTTCACCCAACATGCAACTCACTGCAGGCCTTTTAGCATTCTGAGTTGTTTTTCTTATATCCTACAATTCACAGAGGCAGCAGTTTCTAATGACGATAACTAGATTGGCATAGTTAATGTTAGTCTTTTGAGTACTTGGCTACGCCTGTGGTCATGCCTGCTGTGGTAACAGTGCAAGCAAGTACATTCCTTGGGGCGCCGGACTACAAAGGGGATGCTAAAGCCTTGGATTAATAAATGGATGTATACTGAATATCAGACTAATTAAGTGGAATGTTTTCCTCTACAGTTGCAGTGTTTTAATGTCGGGAATACTGATTTCTTGCAGGAGTAAAAATGCTCAAGTACTTGGATGGTAGAAAACCTTACACCTTAAAGCCATTCTCATTTAGTTAAAAACTGCTTAATCTATTCTATGCCATGTCATATAAGTCATTTGTCTTTTACTTTGGATTGTTTGTATTTACATGGGGAATTATCTTTTCTAGTACTTATTGTCTCAAACTAATAAAATTCCAATTCCCTCATATATCCTAACATGAATAGCCCACTTTCTGTTAAGTGCTTCCCCTGAGATCCGAGACATTTATAGACCAAAGGAAGATGCATGCTATATGTGTCTGTGACAGGGTATTTCTGTCAAGAAAACGTATTGCTCGGGGGGTAACATCAAAGATAGCAATGGAGTCATTATGGGACTCGCTCATTTTCTCCCCGCAAATGCAAAACGTGGAAAAACAAAACATTACAAGAAAATCCACATTGACACAAACATAACACACAGAGATGTATGCCTCTATTATTTGCTTTACCGCATCGGTTCTGGTTCTGGTGTGTGTCTAAAAAAAAACGGTAAAGGAATGTGGAAGATAAAACAAGTCGTAGGAAAATTAAATGTACATACCGTACGCTAACGTCTGGAAATATTTCAACAGTCACGTTATTTCTTACCTGAACATGCTTTAAATTTTATATTTTTGTGGTAAAAAGCTTAAATGATGTGAAATCCTTAAAAGAAATTGTTTAAAAATCACAGCACAGACAGGCATCTTTTTAGGGGCTCTGCTTTACTTTGAAATATGAATTCAACCATTGATGATTTCAGTACCTTTATTGTTTTATCTTTTAGAGAGTTTTGGTTATTTGTCTACATGTTGTGAAAGGGATATTCTTCTGCGTGGAAAGTCTTATTATCCATAATCCTGTTGTAGATGTTCAGGGCTTTTATTTTGTAAATCTCAAGTCCAGTGTTGAGTCTCTGCACTCACTACCCATTTCCGTCAGTATTGTAAAAGCAGTAAAAATTTCTGTCCATAGGTTCACTAGTGAAAGGCATAAACTGTCATATTTTATGGACAGAGGAGATAAGAACCAATACAGACTGGCTTTAATGGAAGTCTGAACTCAAAAAGAGCAAACCAGTCCTCTTGTAGAGCTATGGGCAGCTGATCAAAGAGCTAATTTGTCAAAGAAAGTACAGTCCTTTGTGCTTCTTTGTAGAGATATTCCTGCCTTCTGTGTAAGTCAGCGCAGCAGAAGAAACATAATGTTCCCTGACATGTAAGGACCGGAACCAGAGATCCCTAAGTTCATAACTTCGTATCAAATGTATTATGAATGGAGAGGCTCTTGTGTTTTGTCTGCATCGTGTCACTCTCGGATCTCCAGTTACATAGCCTCGTATGAAACATTTATTAAGCCCCAGTATACATAAAGTACAAACATTCAGTTTCAGTGCATACCCATAAACTTAAATTGATGTTGCATACAGATAACATATGCAGAGTTTTTGGAGCTGAGATGCATTTGAGAGTGGGTTTGTGATCTAATTAGGTGGTAGTGAGAGGAAGACATACTCCATATCTGTGCATCTATGCCAAGAAGTTCAGACCTCAAAATATGCCCGTTCCCCCTCAAGTGAATCATGCCAATTTTGTTATATAAGCAGACAAGTCTGGGAATATTTTTTTCTGTTCAATATTTAATGCTTCTGCAGATTTATATTTTGTTCATGCTCCAGCACACACTTGGATTTCAGCCTCTGTTTTCTGTCCTTGTTTTTAACATGTTTTTTTTGTGTCTGCCCTTTTGGTGAAAGGCCATTTTTAACGAGTCATTATGCCAATTATTTAGAAGCGTCTTACGGAGGCTGTTTTCACAGTTGCGTTACGGCCTGTTTGTGGCAGCTACAAAAGCCACGTTCGTCTGACAGCGCAGGCCTCAAACTTGGTGGATGTTTTTATCTAACCCAAGGATTTTACAAATGCATAACACACTAACTCAGCTCAGGGTTTAGGACTGAAAGGAAGTGAAGGTTGTGTCTGCCAGGCATATCCCTTCTGCTGAGATGTGATTAGAGGAGCTCTTTGTGTGTGTTTGAGAGTGTGAATACAGTTTCTTATTGTTGTTCCATTTGGATCCATGGTAGTTGACATTGTCAGACCATCTTTTTCTGTTTGCTCAGAAGTTGTTGGCATTTTGTAAGGGAATACTTGTATGTCTGCACGCTTGCATGGGTTTATTTACATGTGCAGGTGGACACCATGTACATGTATGTTTTTACATGCCAGCAGCTGGCCTTTAACAGTGTATAGGTCTGCAAGGTAATGGGGTCTTTTTTGCTGTCCAGTGGCGTGACCTTCATAATCAGTGGTGTTCAGCCCTTTGCTTGAGGCTGTTTCCAAGCAGGAGTCAACCCTTGAGGGGCTGATATTAGACCACAAGCCACCCCTTCCCCAAACCCCTCCAGTCCAGGGCTCTACCTCGCATCCTCCTGGCTCTGTTTAACCTGATAAACAGATCCCTTTGGCCTTTAAGCAAGGGCAGGTAAAGTGTAGCTGCTAGTCACAGAAGCTAGACTCTAAACTTGATGTTAGAGACAGGACCATAGCCAGGAAGAGAGCCACATAGAGAGCTTGCTCATTTCTTTAAACTCTAAATACTTATCACCAAAGTTCATGCTCAGTAATCCAGGTAGAAATCCAACAATGTTCAGTCAGGTCATCTGGACGGTTTCTTTTTTTGCTGAAATGTTTCGTCCTTCTTCATCCAAAGGACTTCAATCTGAGGAGCCATCAAACAAAACTGATTCCCACAAACGGCATACTCCATAGTGGAGTAAGCTGTTAAATACTATGCTAAACATAAATATGCTACTAAATACTTGCCAGTTTTCTTACCTGGTATTAAATCAGGTATCCATATAACAAGTTGCAAAGACAAATTCTGAGCCCAAACAATTTGAAAGAAGTTCAGTGAGTTCTATTTGCACAACCCCAAAATTATTAATTTTCCACAATAAATTTCACATTTAGTTTTGTTTTTAGACCTTCAACTTTTCTCCAAGAATTAACAATCACAGAAAAACACAAGACCACCTTCACATCATTTACATTTTGCCATTTGAGTCACACTGAAACATTTAGTCTGCTCACCAAACAGAAATACTCGTGATGATTGACGACTTGTTTTAGCCATCAACAAATAATCTAAATTCAACTTTAAGTACAACTCAAGTAACTTTCAAGCTTCCCGTTGTAAATTGGTCTTGAAGTACTTGGCTATGGTTGTATTGTCCAGAACACCACAGCCAGTAATGTCCATGTTTTAGGTCTGAACCTGTTTTCTTGAGTGTCTTATTCCCGTTCTCCTCTTCATTGACCCGTCTAGGTGAGGCTCATGATAAGGACGTTCAAGTTGTGGAGTTGCCCATCGTCGACAGTCTCCACCCTCGACCCCCTTACTTACCACTGGCGGTCCCCGAGGACTTGGCTCCGCGTCTTCAACGTCTGCATGGTGACCCGTCTGTCTGGTGGGTGTCCCAGTTCGTGAAGTACCTGGTGCGCCCTCAGGCGTGGCTCGAGAAGGAGATCCAGCAGACTACTGCCAAACTGGGCTTCAAACATCCCATCATTGGGTAAGAACACTGAGCTCTCTCTTTTTTCTAGGTGGTCTTGCATTTTTTGTGTTTACGTGGTGATAAAAGTGCTTATAATAATAATAAGAGACTTGTTTTCATGGCATTCTTCTCAAATAAAGGTTACAGAGTTGTTTGACAGTAAACAACAGAAATGAGTAAAGAAAATGGTAATGTAGCCTTAAGGCCTGTGGTGGAAAGTGAACACTGCTTTTGGTTAGGTTAATGCAAGGTCAGTCTAATAGTATTCAAATACCTTAATTTGATAGAAACCTTTAGTTTTTTTTTTTTTATATATCTTTATTTCTTCTTGCAAGGTTTTATTTTTTACCCTTCTTACAGTTTGTTTATAGAAATCAACCGGTTTAAAGACATTTCCTCACTTTGCACTCGCTGAAGTATTTCTTTATGCAGTTTTTTTCAGCCTGTCTTGTTTTTGTTCTATATTTTTAATAAATACTTGATCCATTTTTGTAAGAAAAGAATGCTAAAGGCAGATTCAGAAGAGGTGAAATTCAATTCGACAAAGAGATTGAACCTTTGTTAATGCCTGAAAAGCAGCAGTTTGCTCGGTACTTTTCATCTTTAATAGCCTTGTCAACAAAATTGTCAACAAATCTCCTAAAAAGCACCAACATGACAACAAATGTGTCATTCTGTGCTATTATTAGATTGATTCCTTCTAGTCAATGTTGTTTATTCTGTTGTGTCACTGACCTCCACTCTCATCTAGAAACTCATACACAGTGTAAACCTGCATCAGTTACGCACAGTTTATTTTAAGGTGGCCTCACGTGCACGTTCATGCTTCATTAAATAATGTTTCGAAGTATGATGCAGTAAAATAATTCCTGATAAATTCAGTATTTGCTCTTTCACTTCAGTTTCTAGTTTGACCAGAAACATTTATTTAAATATATGCACACGTGCTGACATATCTTTTAAAATCCCAATTCCCAAAAAGTTAGAATGTTGTGTAAAATGTAAATAAAATCAAAATGATTTGCAAATTTCAGAAACCCATGTTTTATTCACAGTGGAACGCAATAAACTAATCCAGTGCTGAAACTAAAATATTGTACTTTTTGTTTTTTTAAATAAAGTAATTTTGAATTTGATGGTAGCAACCAGTCCTGAGAAGACGTCAGGGTTTCTGGATGGCTTCTTATGTGTGTGATAGAGCTGTAAACTGTATGTCTAGTTTGCACTGCAAACTGTTCACAGACAATCATTTGTGGAAGTGTTACTGAGCTCGGGCGGCACGGTGGCACAGTTAGGCCTGTCGCGATAAACAATAAATCAATTAATCGCATGATAAATGAAAATTATCAACCTCATTTTCATTTATTGGCGTTATTGTTTCTTCGTGTCTCTCTCTTTCTACTGAAGACACTGGATGACAAAAAGGCTCAACTCCAGTGCTCTTCACTGACCCCTCTCTTTCTCTTTTCTCTTTAAAATCCATTTTAACCTTCCAAATTTGCGTATTGGGATCCTTAAAAGCAGCTAAGCTGAGAAGCTAAGCTAACAGGCCGATCTCCGGAAAAAGCTTCTGTCTTGTCAAAGCTCCTAAATTCACGGTTGAAACCTACGCCTTCGTCTACAAAGTTGTTTTTCTCTGAAAAAAAAAACTGAGAACTTGTTTACTGATTTTTTTTATTAAAAGCTTTGTGTGACAAATGCTATGCTAAAGAGCTCAAACCACACCGAGCGTCCGCCATTTTGAGAACCGAAAAAAAAGGAAGGAGAGACAGCCCATGTCACGTCAAGGGGCCTCCCTCCCATTTTTCTTAAAGAGACACGCTGCTCGCTCCGTCACCATCCATCCTTAAGTTCACACAGTCTTATACTGTCATCCAGTGGTCGAAAAAAGGTACTACACACAAAAATTAATGAACATTTCTTCCTAAATTTGAGATTAATTACTAATTATTGTCAAATTTCAAAGAATATTATCGTTTATCGCAATAATTTCAGAGACAATTTATCGCCCAGCAAAATTTGTTATCGTGACAGGCCTAGGCACACTTGGTAGAGCTGCCGCCTCTTTGGGAGAAGAGCTGGATTGAATCCCAACAGGGGGCCTTTCTGGGTGGCGTTTGCATGTTCTCTCTGTGCATGCGTGGGTTTTCTCCGGGTACTCCGGTTTCCTCCCACAGACCAAAAACCTGCATGTTAGGCTGATTGGTAACTCTAAATTGTCCCTAGGTGTGAGTGACAGAGTGAATGGTTGTTGTCTCTGTGTCCCTGTGATGGACTGGAGACATGTCCAGGGTGTCCTCCGCCTCTCACACAGTGACTGCTATGGGCATGGGCACCAGTGACCTCTGTGACCTGAAAAGGAAGAAGCGGGTAAAGATAATGGACGGATGGTTCCTGAGCCCGTGCAGTGACGGCCAGAGCAGAATCGGTCTTGTTTTTAATGCAGTGCCACCTGTGGGTCAGATGATCAGGAACATCCTGTGGTGACTTTCAGCCTTGTCCTTTAAATTGAAATGTTCCTTCAGATTTAGCAAATCGTTTAATGATATAATTAAATAACTGTAAGTGGTGGAACATTCAAAGTGTTTTCAGTTTTGTAGAACATTATTCTAAAATTGTCACCCTATTTGGACACATTGCAGACTGAAGAACCTCTGCCCCTCTTTACATCTCAGAGTTTCAGCCTCTATAAAATGTTATATTTACACCCAGTGCTTTTACTGACTGATGCCCAGTAACCTAGTTAGTTGTAAATGCTCTTCTAGTGTTTCTTTATTCATAGCACTTCATGTTACAAGCTTTTATTGAAACTTTTTTTTTTTTCAAAATGTGTTGCTGCCATCAAACTCTAAATTATTTTTCTCCCCAAAAATTTTAGTTGTTGTTCAACATTGAATATGTTTACTATGTTCCTTTTTCAATAAAACGAGTTTATATTTGCTCTTTTTTTTTACATTTAAACACAAAGCTCCAGTTTAGAGAGTGAGTTATATATGAAAGTTCTTTACTGTAAATTAAGGATTTAATAAGGCTTTAAAGTCCGTTCATTTTTATAAACACATCATTTTATCAAGTCATTATGAGCAAGTCTGTTCTGGTGGAGTTTACAAAATAGTTATCTTTATTGGCCGTGGCTTTGCTCAGAGTAGCCATTAACTTGTCAGTTCAGGCCTAATTAAACTACTTTGCAAACAGAAATCCCTCAAAGAGCCATCTACAGCAAGAAACACATTCATCATAATCCTTCACAGAATCCTAATAACTCGCCCTTTTTGTGATCAAATTGTCTGTGGTCACCTAATGCTGACATTTAACCAATCAACATTCAACCTAAACATCCTGTCATCTCCCAATACTGATTGCTGTCAGGTTTTTGGATAATTTCCCATAAACATGTCTGTGTTGACGGAATACCCACAAACTTTTTCTGTAAGTGTAGGACACAATTCCTTCATGCCGGGTCAGAGCAGAGGTTGGACCCAGAGCTAGACAGACACAAGAGGATTAATTGGGATTTCCAGACTATCGAATGCACCTGAATATAAACTGTGCCCACTAAATATATATATATATTTTTTTTTAATCCATAAATTAGTTGCAGCATTGTATAAGCCGCGGGGTTCGAATCGTGCGAAAAAAGTAGAGGCTTATAGTCTGGAAATTATAGTACGTAAAATAAAACTTGTTTATTTAAATAAGGGAAACGAAGGACTGATGTGGCAGCAACAACTACAAAAAAATACAGCGAGCGCAAGAATGAGATATCTGGCATGAAGCCAAGACAATGAGCCACTGTCAGAATGGTGATCAGGACTGGTTTGAATAGATGTGAAGGAGTGAAAGTGACAACACCTGTGTGGTCGAAGGAAACGGGTGAGAGTGGTGAGCTGAAGGAGGAACAATGTAGAGGCTGACTGAGGGAGCGAGAGAGAACTGGCGCAGGGAACAGAGGGGGCTGAATCAAAACACAAGGGATATAAAAATAACATAAACCACAAGACAAACTAAATAACTGATCAAAAAACTGACTGTGACAACTCCAAACCTTAGAAGAGCCAAAACATATTCTGTTCTGAACAAAAGTCTATTAAAGCATCCGGTGCAAAAGAGCAGTCTTGTTCCTGAAACATGATGTTCACTTCGCCGACTTCCAAGATGTGCATGGATTTAAGCTTCTAGATCAACAACCATACGCTAAACACAGCTATAACTCAAACAATGCCTCGTTTGCAGCTGTAGTATGACAGACGAGCCACAGCTAACCTTCATCAAAATGAGGCACTGGATTAATAACTCTGGTCTCCGTGTGCAGCTGGCTGTGAGGTGAGTCCAACGGGACCAACTGCAAAGTGTGACCATAAATGGAGCAGCAGCTTCTGCTCTCTTTCAAGTTTAAACTGGAATATACTGCAGTTCATTTTCAGATCAGCTTTACGTGCACAGAAAGTTCTGTCTGGTAATCCTGGGACGTTTAACTTTGTTAGAATGGGGTCAAGACATGGCCAATTAATTTGGGCTAGCTTGAAAATATGTTTAATTATTCTGGGAAAACACAAGCAAGGTTGAGCATTTAGACGCTTGCTGTGTGAGTTCTTAACATGGCAAATGAATAGGTTTAATAAAACTCCTGTATTAAATCCGATGTTAATACATTGTCTTTATATCAGCAAAGAAAGCAGCAGTTTTTATTGAACCTTTTTGAAAAGTTAAATTGTTAGGACTCATTTTTAAAATCTACATTTACAGGAGAGATAATAAACTTGGTAAGTAGCACAGACAGCTGAGTTAAGAAGAAAGTTAAGACTTTGGAACAAGTTGCCTCTGCTTGTCAGACAGGCCCCCTCCCTCTCGGTTTTCAAATCCCGTTTAAAAACCCACTATTATTCCGTAGCCTTCAGCACCAGATGATCTGTGTTTTTGAACCTGTATGCTCCGCACAGGGTAGTCGTCATATTTATTATCCGCGACGTTTTTATGTCTATATTCTGATTAACCTCATTTTGTATTTTGCTTTGTGT